AGTATGCCCTTAGTTGGCCAGCTTGCGTGATTGGCAGGCAGCCTGACATGCATTCATGCCAGGTTGGCCTTCCAATTCTTTAGGCAGACTTGCCCCCTTTTGGCAGTTCTGATTACATAAGTTGTGTCAGTGCCCCACCCTTTTACCCCACCCATTGACTGCCTGCTTCCCTGGACACTACTGTTAGGGGTATGGATTTACTTGAAAGATGAAAGCATAAATTAGAGAGAGATTAGCATAGAGTGTTTTTTTTTCTCATAGCTGCATCCTATGAGTTTCCCTTCATCACCACTTTTGCCAGATACATGACGATTGGTAGGTATGACTGTTTTCGTATTTTTGGTCGATAAGATTCTGTAGTTAGGCCCATCATAATTGTCAGCACCAGGCCCACTGAGCTCTTAATCTGGCCCTGGACATGACTATGAACTAGATATCTGTGACTGAGGATTAGATGTCTGTGGGTTACATGTTACATAATTGTTTAAGCACTAAATTAGCCATGTAGTTCTGAATTATGGAATTGTTCATTGGCAGAGCTGATATCTTTTATGTATCTGTAGCAGACAGTGCCAATAATGCTCTTCGTATTATATGTTTAGACAAAATGCTGATGATCCAGAATCCCATGAAACTGCTTCTTTGCAAAATAAGTACCCTTGAGTGCTTAGACATCTTTAAGATTAAGCTTATCATATATATCTTTATGGTCCTTAACAATTAAATATACAGCCTCCAGAAATGGCAAGCATAAGCTCCCGAAATCCACTTGATCCTACTCATGCCTGCATCAGTGTCTGGAGCCAATAGATAATTACCTGGGGGATATAAAACCATTACTAGAATGTCTATTTCTGAAGGAATATGTGTAAATCCTTCTTATTTTATTACAGTTTAAGATATCAAGATAAGGCTGATACCCCAATACTGAGTAATGTACAAATCCAGACTTGACTCATTGGTCCAACATTCCATCTACTTAAAGTCCACCAAAGGCATTAACATCTAATGGTTCTATGTCAACATATATATGGCATGAATATTATATGTAGGTTAATGTCAACTAGACCTGGACCTCCATCTTTGAGACGATTTAAGCTTTGTTTACTCAGGATGGCATACTAAAAATTTGGACCAGCCACCAAAATGATGTTTAAGGATATCACAAACATTTTGCCCAACTCACCATGACTCCAAAGCAAAGATGTGGCTAAGAACAATGTAATTTAGTAATTGCACCTCCTGATGCAAGCTATGCTGTGCATTTACTTGATTGCATTTATGACAGGTGTTCCCTTACCTCTTAAAACACAGAACTCACAGAACATATAGCACTACAAGGGTGCTTCAGAGAGTTTGTTCCATATATGTAATGAAATATTCTTCATAACAGTGCATCTGGCATATCACATCCCTCTTTCATCCAAGTGCAGTTACGTATTGCATGCTGCTGTGGTGAGGGCAGCCATCAGGGCATGACAACCATGGGCCCGGCAGTCCTGGGGGGCCCAGACTGCTTGTGGAGTTCCAGGCCCCACATTTCCTACGTGCAAATATATTTAGCGATTTTCACAGGACACTCCATCTTCCCTTCCGATTAACATCTCTGTCTAACTCCTGCGAGCACCGCGGCATTCAGAGCGTTGCCACAGGTTACCATGACAACGCTCCGCATAGCATGCAGGCCACTTTTGCGAGAGTTAGATACAGAGGAGATGCTGGGAAGGGAAGATGGAATGTGCTGCTGGCCCCCACTGCAGTGAACAGCGTCTGGACCACCAGGTAATGCGATGTCCCCTCTCCCTTCCCACAGGTAAGAAACAGGGAGGGGGAAATAAAATGTTTAACAGGTGTGTTGAAAACAAATGCTCTTCCCCTCCCTCACTAACTGCAGCTCCTATTTTACATACACTAAATACCTACGCAAACACACACTGCATTCATTCTACACACAAACACTATGCATTAATTATATACACACAAACACAAACTATACATTCATTCTATACACAAACACACACAATGCATTCTATACACAAACACACAATGTGCATTCATTACACACACACACACACACACAATGCAGTCACTATACACACTACATCCACTACGCATTTATTCTATACACACACACTCAAACACTATGCAACTAAAATTGTGCAAATGTGCTAAATTATTTACCATTCCAGACAATGCTATTATATATAAAATGTAGTTAACACTATTAACCTTTTGAGAGCAAGACATTGCTTTGTCCAACTTCACTCTTGCAGTCACAGGGTAAAGCTATGAATTTTTATTAAATCCATTACAATAAATAGAGAAATGTAGATGTAGAAGCACTGGTTGCTAAGAAAATCTGATTAATGCCATATGACGGGCTCTGAACTTTCTGTCCAAATGGGTTCTGCAGCTCTACAGCCCTACTGGCAATGGGTATCACGTGACCTGCATATATCAGCACGAATAATACTCAGAAGGAAAAACAGCGACAGTGTGCAGCTAACCAATTATGTCCCTTCGTTACTGCTCCATTCTAATAGAAGCAACATACAGAAATAGTAAAAAAAAACAAAAAAAAAAAACAACACACTAATAAGCATCACTGGCTAGTACAGTAAAAGCTTTATAAATCCAAAACTCTGAAATTCAGCTAAACTACAGACATACCATTCTACATCAAGCATTACTTACATAAAGAAAATCATATAGATTAAAAAACTGTCAAGGACAACACAGGATTCTAGTACATTATCTACAAACATCTAACTAGCTTCAATATCCAGCTCCATATAACTACTTGTGCATATGTCTGTGTTTTTTTTTTTTTTCCCCTTACCGGTTTATAGCATTAAAACATATGAAAACGTGAATTTAAAGCAATTTGGTAACCTAATGACTGGTTGTTGCATTAATGTATATTGCATATTTTTTTTTTTATTGCAGTAATAAAAAGGATGGTGAACCCAAAGTGGAAATCAATGACCTTACAAGCTTGCATACTTCACGCAAGCTTGGGTTTTAACCCCAGATCTACTTTATTGACCTCAAGTTTCAAATAAATATTTTTTTTTTTTTTTTTTGTGCACAAAGCAGAATAACCATTAGCTGCTCTAGAATTCGAGAGATGTCTTGTGTTGGACAGTTTGTCTTCTACATTGGACCTCATTTGTGAATTCCCACCTGTCCCTGCATTTATTTGAAAGGTTAAAGAATACTGCATATGAAGTGATGTCTTAGGTAAATGGATTGCATATTCCTCATGATGATAAGTTGCGATTTATCTATAGCGAAAACTCCAATGAAACCTGATTTTTGTGGCTGATGAATAGACTCCATCAGTTAACACAGGTGTTTCCAATGTTGAGAACCCTCTGTAACTTATCACTACTCACTGATTGTCCTCTACTGCTTTACAATGAAAGGTATATTTAAATGGTTAAATGGCTCAGAACAGCTGCAATTACAGATCCCATCATCCTTACTCCTTACTAGGTCAGCAGCTGCCTATGAATGATGTGCAAGACGGTTAACATGCCAAATGCTGTAAATATTAGAAGGAAATACTCAACTTAAATCATATTATATACACCTTACATGTTAAAAATCCATATTGATAAAAAAAAAAAGCACTTTCATTATCTTTTTTTTCAGGTTATGTAAAAAATATATATTATTGTACCTAGGCATCGCTATCCATATAAATCCGAATATATCCATATAAAAAAAGGTTATGATGTCTCGTGTAGGTATAATTCCCTAATAACCCCTCATGCATGGATTCAAGTGGATCTCAAACAATAGGTTAACATTCTGGGGTAGGAAAAGGGCTGAGGTGTGGGGTGGGTGGGATGTAGGACCGTTTTATTGTCAAACTTACCCATTCCAAGACACGGAGGAACGCAAGAGGCTCCTTCAGTATTCGAAAAGAACCAGATGACACAAGCTTTAAAAAGATGGGGAAAACAAACAATATATTTATGCCTTTAGTGCTTTGTGATGCCTCCCTATTTTTATTGTTACAATGTATATTTCAAAACTCCATGCAATTAACTTTCACTTACCTGATTAGACATATCCATTTTGTGCTTTGTGTTTAGGAAATATTTCAATTGCAACCGAAGTCACTCAGTTGCCTGAACAATACAGACTGACACACACTTTTGATTCTCGCATAGAGAAGCATTGCAAGGAGAGTGAACATCCAGCAGGAGCAGGGATCGGAAAACATTCTTCTGGGTCCTAAAGATAGTCATATATACAGAACATTTTAATAGAGCTCATTTAAAGTTGTTTAGCTCCTCTTGCATGATGCATTGTTTGTAAAAAGCTTGTTTAGTGTTATTAGGGTTATTAACTAAATCAAGATTTATATAAAAAAATACAAACGTAATTGCAATTTTTTAGCCAAAATAGCCAAGCTTGAATTTTTTTCCAAAAGCAGTTTTTTTCAACTTCAGCAATTTTTTGGCTTAAAGGGACACCGTAGGCACTGTATCTGCTTCATCTCATTAAACTGGTTATAGTGTCTGGAGTCCCCTGGTGCCATCATTTCTTTCAGCATTAAACAGTTTTTAGTGTTGTAATGTTTTAATGCTAAACAAGAGACCCCGGCAGTCCATCCCCTCTGTGCTGCTTTGGCTAATAAGGAAGTTTTACCCTGAGCAGCAATAGTCAGCTGTGATTGGCTGAGAGTGTCAGCTGACTGCTTTTAACCTGTCAGAGCTCCAACTGACGGTATGAATGGGTATGACAACAAGGAAGTGTGCAATCTCTGCCTTAGCTACACATACAGAAGGGGCCAGACTGTGGGTGGCCAGGGACTCTTATTTTGTGGTGCAACACTGAATGGAGGGACAGTGCCAGGGCACTCCAGGCACTATAACCAATTCAAAGAGACAAAGTGGTTATAGTGACTAGAGTGTTCCTTTAAAATGTGCAATTCTCTGGCCCACAGGTAGATGAACTTTTTGTAGAGCTGTGCCACACAGATACACACAAGCACATACACACACTGACACACACCTTGACACAGATACACACACTGACACACAGACACTAATACATACACTGACACACACAGACACACACACAGAAACATACACTGACACACACAGACACAGATACACACACTAACACATACACACACCTTGACACACAGATACACAAACTGGCACATACACACAGATTAACACACATTGGCAGATACACACACACACACACACACACACATATGTTTATATTTGCTGTTAATTTACCTTTTTTCTTCCTTTAGTACTGCAGGCTGCTGGTTGAGGTTGGTGTGCCAGGTGCTCAATACCCACTGCTCCCTTTCTCCCTCCAGCCGGTGTTCTAACAGGTGTTCTCTGTCTGGGAGGAAGTGCTGTCACTTCCTCCCAGCATCCCAAACAATAGGAATCCGGTCGTGGTCTTAGACGGCCGTGGAGCATGACCGGTCCACTGTTTAGCGATACCCATCGAGTGACCACCCAACTAGCAAATTGCAGAGGAACCCCAATTTTGTACTCGCAGAACCCTAGAGTTCCGCAGAACACCAATTGGGAAACGCTGGTGTAGGGTGTTTGTGTTATGTAAGTGTATGGACTGTTTGGGGCTTTGTGTGTGTGTGTTACATTTTTCTTTTGTTTTTATTGTATGCATTGGGGCTGATGTGTACTATAATCATTGCTGTCACCCAGGAGTAGTGGGTGTTTGAGCTCAGGATTTAATTTTGTATGTTTGTATTTGCTTTTGTATTAAACAGCCATGTTACAATGCTGCTGCCCACTGTGTCCCCTATTAAGGGTTAAAGAGTGTGTAGAGGTTTAGATATATACCCCTCTCATTAAAGATTACACCTTTTGGCTGAAAGCAGTAAGATGAATTGTTAGTGTGGGACTCACCTAAGAGGTTTTGCCTTGACGTAGCAGGTGAACTTAACCCCTTAAAGACCAAACTTCTGGAATAAAAGGGAATCATGACATGTCACACGTCATGTGTCCTTAAGGGGTTAAAGTTGAATGTCCATTGGAGTGTTATGGGCAAATGCAAATATTACAAGTTTTAGAATTAAATGTTGTATTTCTTAAACTGTGTACTTTGTCTTTAAGAGATATTGCAAACTGACAAGGTGTTAGAAATGGAACATATTGTTTTTCATAACTGTTTCTTTAAGCAATAACCTCAGTGCATAATAATATGTTTGCGCCATTTTGTCCCAGACTAATTACAATCAGGGGCGGACTGACCACTCGGCATATCGGTCACGGACCGAGGGCCCGAGACAGTCAGGGGCCCGGCCGCACAGCCATGCTCCAGCTGGAGAGATCAGATCAGAGATCTCTCCAGCTGGAACGAAAAAATAAATAAAACTATTTAAATGATAGGTTGTGGGGCCCCTGATGCAGCACGGGGCCCCACAACCTACCGCTCTCTAAATTCACCCCCCCCCCTTCCCATGAGACCTGGCAGCTTCACCTCCTCTCCCTCTCTGCCAGGTCTCCTGCTTCCAGTCCCGCGGTGCTCGTGTGATGGGAGAGGCGGGACAGGAAGTGACCTCACTTCCTGTTTACTCCTCTCACACACAGAGCCCAGTGAGGGGAAGGAGCAGCAGCCGGGAGACCACAAGGAGCAGAGAGACAGGTAGGCTCTAGGTACCCCTCTCCCCCCCCCACTGTCACTAATTACCCCCCCACTGTCACTAATTACCC